GAGCTCGCTCCACGGCTTCCAAAGGCCGCGATGAGTCGACCTAACCAAGACCTAACCAAGCCCGGATCAAAAGCGAGTGTCCAAATCTAACAAAAAACCGCTCGGGGGACGCGCGAGTCTGAAAAGCGTCCGAAGAACCATTAAACACGGATGAAAAAAGTGCTTCGGAGGCTGACCAAAGGAGATTCGTCTCCGAATGGGTGAATAAAGGCGGCCATCTTGGACGTCGCGGGGAGAAGGAGCCGGCGTATCCGTTCCGTTCGACGGAGAGAAGAGAAGAGGCGAAAAGAGGACGAAAAAGGAAAACGATAGAATTCCGATCCTCGGAATAATAGGCTAATTACAATTACGGCGGGGGCAGAAAGTGTTGCCGGCTACCTGCTATTCTACGGGCCAGCCGATTATAGCGCTAAGCCGGAAATAGAGGGAGCTGAATGGATGATTGATCACGGGCCCCGGGACGGACCGTTCTCCGCCTCGTGGACTGGTGGACTCGTGGACTCGTGGCCAGGTCGCCTCGGTCTCTTGCGCAGAAAACGCTCCGCGTTCCCGTCTCCGGGTCGCTCGACTATTTCATTGACCAAATTTAACGCTAATACTGTCCAAATACGACAGTCGGCTTTGTTGGGGCCCTATAAAGGGACTGCGGAGCCGGCACAGCTGCTCCCATTCGCCGAGGGCCGGCAAACAGGCTTCCTCGGGTCTATCGCTCGTCGTTTCGACGAACGAGGGGGGACTGCGCAGGAATCGAACCTCACGGGGGTCCATTCACACGCGGGACGTATCGGTTCGGCCGTTCACGCCACTCAAAATCTGACTTTATCCTTGCCTTGTTTGTCGAGTTGTCGCTTGAAATCCGATCGCAGCGATCTTACCGCCATCCTCTTTCCACATTTTTTAACATTTCTGTTGTGTGGCTGTTCGAGACGTTACGATGTAATGGTTTCATCTTCAAAGGTTCCCGTTCGTAGGATTAATGGAACGGAGGATTTTATAAAGCCTGTCGTCGTTCCATCGTCTATCGTTCTTCTTCGCTTTAATTCGCGTACCATTATGTTTTTTGTTATCGGTTGTTGAACGATCATTATAGAGGGCAATCACTTGTATCGTATTTTGCACAGTTGCGCAGTTCAGCCTTTCGATCGGGGATGACGAGTCGACTCGTCATTGGCGTTCCATTTCATTCTTCGGTAATTCTTCCTGTTTGCTCGACAAATAATTTCTCTATTTTATTCGATCGTAATATCTGCACCGGCGTAATCCACGCAATATCGACGCGTACAATGTGCACCGTATTAATTTAAATCGTTTCGAGTCTCGTTTCCGCGAATAGACAGGATGAAGATGGACGGAAACGATTGTGGCCGCATTAGGAGGAGCAGTGTGCGCATATGTGACCACTGAGCTTTAATATCGAGGGACGATCGAATGCATCTACATAAGTATGTCCGTGTAGATGCACGTACGCGCCTCGGTATCCGCGAGGAGATCGATTCATTTTTCCCAGCGGGAATGTTATTGTAGAGAGCGACGGTTCTCGATTGGACACACGTAATAAACTTCGCCGAACGGTCGAACTCGCCAAGTTCCGAGAACGTTCGTCCGTTTCCTCGCGGATGATCGACGGCAATGGAAATCTGCTAGCGGAAGAGGCAAAACAATTAAATAAAAGACAATTGCGCGGCAAGAGGTTAACGATTCACCGGGTGAACATCCGATGCTCGCGGACGGTTTATCGCCGGCCGCAGGTTGCACCGCTCCCCTACCGTCGCCGACATCGTTCGTGTTCTCCGACGTTAATCGACTCCAAGATTACGCGTCGCCCCTCCGCAAAGGTGCGTTTCCATTCGGAACAAGGGAAGTTAATCAGAGAAGAAATCCAACCCCGCGAATCGAAAAAACGGTTTGCAATCTGGATGGAACGACTGTTTCAGTGTTCGATACCGTTCGACCGAGTTTTCGCAAAGGCCCGTGGCACTCGAACGGTTAACGCTCTCTTCGAGACATTCACCCTCATCAAAAATGAGTGGGGGGCGTTTCGCGTTTAATTTCCTCGAAGAAATTTTACCGAGACCGAGGAAACGGAGGGCGACGCGGGACTGTCCTTCGCTGGAAGTTCATTTTGATTTATCGCCGTGCCGGAGCGGCGAGTCGAAAGCTCGGCGAGGATCCGTTCGAAACAGCCCGTTCCCGTGATATCTCTTTCTCTCTCTCCCTCTCTCGTCTTTCTAATAATCCGTCACACGCGATACACCGATAATAAGCGAGAGACGATGGGACGCGATAAAACGGGGCGAGGACTGGACGGTTCGTGAAAACACGGCATATGGCGCGCTCGATAGCGGCGTTCAATTATGCTGAATAATCTGTCGATCCTGTGTTTAAATAAGGCCGCTTTTATTAGCGGCGGATAAAGCGGCGGCGGTGCTCGGCTTATTATTATCGTTCGGGATCGCGGTGATTCCAGTGGAAACTCGGACCTTCGGAATCACTTTTTCCTCTTGGACTATGCTCGCGAGGCGAGAGGAAATTCACGTCGCGCGATGTTCTTTAGTTGATACCCTGTTGGACAGAGTGCATCTTATTTTCGTGTAAAAATCGGAGACACTTTTCCTCTTTAGAATCGAGACGAGATACCGAAGCCGAGCAATTGGTAAGCTGGTAGTCCGTAAGCTAGGATATAAATCGACGAAACATTTCAATCACCGTCCGATTCGAATAAAATGTCTTTCTTTCTTAATTCGCGCAAGTATTCTCGTTGGTTCGCGTGAAAAAGTTTGGAGCGCGAGGGGTTAGAAGTTCGCCGGCAGCGGAATTCCAACGGGAGCGCGAGCGCAGCCGAGATATCGGCCGGAAAACCGATAGCATCGGTTGGCTGTCGCTCGACGGTCGGCCGCGCCATATTCCAGCGACTACCGGGTAAATACACCGAGTACCTACTCGAAGTGGAAGCCGCCGAAGCTGGGAAGAATAGGATGTAACCGGGAGAGAATGGCCGTGGAGGAGCGGCATAAATAATTCATCCTCCTTGGGGCGAAAGCATCGGAAGGATCGGAAGCATCGAAAGGAGCGAAAGGTTGGACGGTGGCGCGGCGGCCGATCATTAGATTGGTCGAGCGCCAGGCCGGCCGGGGGTGGGTGGTTTAAGTTGATCCGACATTAGTTACGTCGGCGAACACCGCGCGAGGTGGTTCGCTCGGCGAAGCCGAAGTAACCGAATTCTCGTTGACACGTGCATCGGCTCCGTACGCGGCGAAGGGGCCGCGGGGAACAAGCCAAATGGACCATCGGAAGCAAATAACTCGATTTGCT